CTGAACTTTCAACAATTATTCATTCTTTCCTTTGTGGTTCTCCAATAACAATATCAAATATTTGAAGTTTTGATTTTTTTGTTATTTTTATTTGTCAGATTTCTGATTTTATTGATTATTCGATGTTGATTCAACATCTACCTTATTGTTCTTTTATAACTTCTGATTACATGTCAATCTTTTTCAATCATCCAATCATTTTTTATCTCTTTATTTATTTTTTGTTTGTTTCGTCTTGCATAAATTTTTCATATATTTTGATATATTTTTATATAATTCCATATATTTCTAAATTTCTGTGATTCTTTTGTTTGTTTGTTTATTTCACCTTGCATAAATTTTTCATATATTTTGATATATTTTCAAATTTCTGTGGTTCAGTAAGTTATCATTATAAGCTTTATGAATTACCTTTCCTTTTTTCATTAAAATGTCTGAAATAATTGTTTTACTTTCTTCGTTGATTATCGTTTTTTCACTTTTTTGGTTTTTAATTATTAATCGAAATTCCAGGATTATTTCAAACAATAATCCTTCTGATTTTCAAATTTACTTTGCTTCTGAATACCATGAAGATTTTTCATACCTTCTTTTAATTGATGATGAATTCAAACTTAACTTTTCAGTATCTCTTGGTCGTAATCCATCAGTACCTCGATTTCTTTCTTTGGTTATTTCCCATCAGTCAGAGAATCGTTTGGATTCAAATATCAATGCCACGGTTCCCCTTTTTTATTTTGTTTCATGTGACTTTAATAACAATACTTTAAGGATTTGTGAAGTGCGATCCCATCATTTTGATAATGCTTTAACAGTTTGTGATTTTTTTAACATTTTATGTACATTATATAATCATAAATTATTCATGTTCAAATAAATTATACTTTATTATGCATTTACTATATAATAATGTAGTATATATAATTTATAGTATATTCAGACCTATTACTAATACCAATTTTCTTTGTTTTTCTATTGCTTTCCTTCTTAAATTTTCTTCTTTTTGGGTTTCTTCTTTTATCTCTTGATTCAATCATTGTAATTCTTTCACGTATTTATTTCCCTTATATCATTGTATCTTTGATCGTAATCTGGCCTTTTCCGGTGTGATTAATCCAAAAACTTCCATTCATTTAATGTGCAATTCAATTTCATGATTTTCTTCTTCCTTTGATCTTTTAGTTGTTTGTATCATCCACATTTCCAAATAAGTTCTTTAATTGTTGGATTTTAGAGTCTTGGTCACGCTTCTGTCGGATTCGTTGGAATTGTAAAACGATTGTTAAGATTGATGCTGCCAATACCGCGAATATGATCAATATGATTGTTTCTGATGTTGTGATCAAGAATATGCTATCTCCTGGTATGCTAGTTACGGTAGTTAAAACTGATGCTGTTGTTGATATATCTGCTATTGTGATGATTATTTGTGCACTTGATGTTGTGGTTATGAAGAATGTAATGATTCTAGTTATGGTGGGTATCGATTCTATGATCACACTCATCTATGGTAATATCTTTCCAGTCTTTCTTCCAATTGTCTTTGTCCAATGGTCACTAGTCTTTCTTGTTCCTTTCTTTTAAAGCAGCAGTATGTGAAGGCTGCAAAAAGTATAATTATAAGTGTGCGAATATCGCAATGACTGCAACAAATTGAATATTAGGTGGGTTACTTTCTCCACTGTCAACAGCGGTGGTATTATTCATAGGATATTTTGACTTCTTCCAGATACGATGAGTGGTGTATTCTCCGATACTTCAATTCTTCCCTGAGTAATATTATCGATATTATTGAAGATACACAGCAAGTTATCGAAATAATCACTGTCCTCAAAATGATGTCTGCTGTTACTGCCAATATGACTTCTTTGTTAGTATCCCTGTTATGAGTATGGTGGTGATGCAGATGCGTAAGTATCAATAGATCCCTTTCGATCTGTCCCTATTATTCTAATATTTCTATTAGGATGTATCCTAGTAGGTATCTGATTTATTCTTCGAGTTAAACTTTTAATTTGCTTTTGTTGTATGATAAAAGTGGTACCCCAAAATACGACGAATGCTAAAATGGTTGAAAGAATGTTAAGTATGTCTCTTAATTGACTTACTTCCCCTGTGATGGTTGTTATGGTGGTGGTTGCTTGGACAGTAGTGGTTGAAATAATTGTACTTATGGCAAGGTCGATAATTTTTTTAGTAACTTTCTTTGTTATTGTAGGTATGGTGAATATTGCCATAGGACTGATTCACTGCTCACTGAAGTTTTCTGGATATTAGTTGGGTACCTTTTATAACTATTTCCATGTCCTTGTTATCGGGTGTTCATTGTCCCTTTCGGCTATAATCATTATTATAGATTTTCCTGGCATTTTCCTCTTTTTGTTCTAAGCGTTCTCACGTATATTTAATATTTATAATTACCCATTCTATCTTTCTTTATTTGTCTCGTTATCTCCTATTTCGTGGTCTTGTTTATCTATTATCTCCTTTTTGTTCAAGCTTGTCGATCTTTTCCCAATATCGACTCAATGCATCTACAACTGTATTCTCTTTTTCTTTGATGTGTCAAATGATTAATCCGTAATTCACAATCTTCTTATACATCATTAAAGCTCCCTTTTCTATTGGTATTTTTCTTGTTGTTTTATTTAGTGTCGCCACAATACTACTGTTGTCACAATATACAATGACCATTCCTGGTTGGTATATTTGTAAGTATTCCTGATTTTCTTCTATCGTTCGTTATATGGCGTACATTTCCTTTTTGTATGTGCTCCAGCCCTTTTCATTATCAGTGAAACTTTTCCCATAGTATGATATAATGCCGTGATCCTGTCTTATCACTGCACCTATTATATAGTCACTTGCATCAGTATAGATTTCTACTGGTTTTTTCCAATTTGGATTTACTAATATTAATTTGTCAGTTAATATTTCCTTTATTGTCTCAAATGCTGCCATTGCTTCTGGATTATCTACACTTCTTTTAGCTTTACTTTTTAATCCTTTCCGTTTATTTAATGTTTTTTCTACAGTTTCTTTTAATGGTCCAATTATTTGTGCTCTTGCTAATATGAATTTACTAACGTATACTAGTATTCCCAAAAAATTTTCCATCTGTTATCTATACTTCCAATTTTTAATTTCTTTTATTTTTTTTTCTTGTATTCTTCTTTTTCCTTTTGATACTCTCTATCCTAAGAATTCCAATTCTTCCTTTTCAAATTCGCATTTAGATAATTTTAACTTTAATTCAGCTCCTCCTAATAGTTTTATTACTTTTTCTATTTTTTCTAATAAATCTTCTCTTGTATGTGCTCCTATAAGGATATCATCAATATAAACAATTGCTTATCCTTGTAGTATTGGTTCATTAATAATGTGTTGAATACATTTTTGATAAAATGCTGGTGCATTCTTTAATTCAAAAATCATTCTTGTTGGTTGATATGATCCCATTCCTGGCACTCCATATGCCATATAATGTCTATACCTTTTAGGAATTTCTATATGATTGTATCCTGACAAACAATCCAATGCTGCAAATATTGCAAACTTCATCATTGTTAATAGTATTAATTCTACTTCTGGGTGATATGTATGTTCAGCAACTATTGCTTCATTTAACATTCTAAATTTTTGTACTATTCTCCAATCTTTCTTTCTTATTATCTTATCTTCTTTTTTTAATACTGCAGAACATGATGCTTGCCATTCTAAATTTTCTGCTGGTTCTATAATGCCTTGTTTTAATAATTCTTTAGTTTGTTTTTGAAGTTCTTCTATAGCTTCTGGTGATTTTTGATATGGTTGTGTATAATATGGTTGTGCTCCTTCTTTTAATTTGATAGTAAAATATACATTTTTAATTATTCCTATTTCACTGATTACTTGTCCAAAAAAATATCTATATCTTATAATGATTTTCTTGTACGATTCACTAATTTCCAATGAATCTATAATGTCTGACAATTCTTCAACTGTCTTTTCTTTTAATGGTTCTTTTGGCCATTTATTTCCAACCTTTTCTTTTAGTTTATCTAAATGGGTAATCTCTATATTATGAATTTCTTTTGTGGCATCATTCCTTCCATTCAATTTTTTGATTTAGTTATCCCATTTAATTTATTTGCTTCATGGTTTGATTCATTTCATTTTCGATATTCCTGTTCTAATTCCCATTCTTTTTGTATTTCTTGATTATATATTGACTCTTCTAATGATTGCATTATATTAATGTTCCCTCTTATTGATCTTTGTATTATATCTCTATTTAATTTAGTTATTATGCTTTTCCCTATTTTCTGATATTCTTCACATAATCCTATAGGACTATCTGTTTTAGTGAATCTAATCTTAGTTCCTTTTAGTACCAGTCCTTCAAAGATTACAAAGTTTATCATTTTGTATCTTCTAATCTTCCTGTTGATATCTTTTACCCTTACCAGGTATATTTTAATTACTTCTTCCTTATAACTTACCTTTCCAACATATATCTTTTTTATTAACTCAGTTTTATATTCTGTTGCTAATATTTCTTGAATTGCTTGTTTATCTCTTTGTCTTTCCTCTAATGTTATCCAGCTTGTCACTATTCTATTCATTTCTGAATCTTTAGTTATCCAAATCCCATTTTGATCATATACTATACTCACAATTAT